TACAATATTTAAAAATACATAGGTACAGGTGTTTTTACAGAGAAAAAAACAACACATACTACTAATTACAACACCACAAAAAATAAATGAAAAGAAATATTGATAAATCAATTTACATGTAAAGAATGAATAAATCACTAAGATATTACATTTAACTTGTCTCATAATTATCTCCTCTTTTGAATACCTGTAACTAGTATATAGCTATATATGAATAATACAAGGTTGGGATGTTGAGAGAAGAGACACTAGTTTTTCAATATTGGGATAAGTACACAGAGAAATTGGCAATAAATTGGCTCTTAAGTCGTTGTAAAGGGGACATTTGAAAAATGTACGTATGTACGTATTCATTGTATTTTGATAGTATCGCAAACCCCCTCCCCAATCATGACATTATTATGCTTCACATCAATGATTGAGCGTCAAATACACTAAATATTGGACAGAGAACTATATCAATGATAGTAACGTGCTTTTAATAATTCCGTTATTGAATTTAGTATTTCGGTGGTTTTTTTCTAATTACTTGCATGAACTAATGCATGTTTATATTTAATATGCGGCGTATGGAATGTCTTATATAGGTTATAGAGCATATGTAGGATTTCTGGCAGTTGAAGAGGCCCATGTACACCCAGTATTGGTAGCTTTCTGCCGTTTACTCGTTGAAACTCACCATGATAGATTCCTATATGAGAGAAGAGGTAAGTCTCGGGATTTTTTTTTATCTGACAGATGAGCTGGTTCGATAACATGCGATATAAAAATATATTTTCATTTAAGATTAAAACACATTAAAGGCACTTAAATTTCCGTGTAATTGTGAACGAGTCGCGCAATTTATTATCGTCAGGGGACGGACTAATTCATCCTACTTACCGATTACGTAAATATAGTACGATAAATGAGTCTGTTCTGCCTTTAATTATGGAGTGAACATAGAAACATTTCTCTAAAACAAACATTGTTTGCATTCTTGTCTTAACTGTCCCTATTTGCATTTGTTCTAGCAAATATATGTTTGCCAATTATTATTTTTCCCGCCCATCCTTAGGATTTCAGTGTCACTTGTTCTAAATATTTTCTTTGCTGTGTGTCACTTGACAAATGATTTTGGAGTGATTTGAAATCTTGGTTTGAAACGTATCAAGACAAACGTCCGTTGACTCAACATCCCTTTCATTTCTGTAGATTTACAACTCTCTAGAATGACATCCGGAAGACGAACAAACAAGACTGCACGAAACCGATGGTTGTTGGCTTACACATTGATCCGTAACCCATCTTTGATCAAAGTGTCGTTGCGGAGATTTGACGTTGGCAATAAGACGAGCCTGGACAAATCGCCGACCAAGACGAGGACGGTTCCGCGCGTATGTTATGCACGCCCCATTATAGAATTGCCATCCGTTGCGTAGCGAAATTTTTATTCGTTTTAAAGCGCCACCGGCGTCACATAGCCTCGGCGCTTTAAAGTTGCGCTCTGAAATTATTCTTTTTAAAGTGGGGGAGTCGTCACCTGCGCATACGACAGGCGGCCACAGTGGACGTTTTTAACAAATAAGCGTATACCCAGCCTTTGCGTCGCTTATAACTATATTAAAGGAAACACCGAGCCAAACAACATAATGACCCCTAAAGAAAAAGCTCCACAAATGTAGGAGAATGCAATTTACAGTTTTTTATATCACTTTTTATTCTCTGGATATTCAACTTTTCAGCAGTATTATGTAGTCAGCCATCTTGATTTTCAACAAAGGATTATGGGTAAAGTATGACTTCATAGAATCTGTTGTCTTAAGAGGTCATTATGTTGTTTGGGTTTATGTTTCCTTTACAAATCAGACATTCATAAGCACGCCACCAACAGAAAAAAAACGTGTCTGTCGATGCTTGAACCTTGTTATAATGTAGTAGACAACGTACTCGGAAATGCTTTTGGAACATATATATTTCTCGCAATTTGGGCATATCTGTGCCTTCACATACTATCAGAATAAAAAAAATAGAACATTAACTTTTGAATAAACAACAGTGCCAAAATATTTAACAACCATCCATCTGAGCCACATTATTCAAATTAGATAATTTGCTTATTGTATTCACCTTTTCTATATGAAATGAAGGACACAAAGATGTTAACAAAGGAATTCTGTCGCAAATATATTATGTAGTTCATTTAGCTTTTATACTAATTTGTTGTGCCAGTGAGGCATGTAGGCCCATTCAGCAGGTGATCTGCGATGTGAATATGATGGTTCGTTCTTATTTTTACAATAAAGTGGTTGAAAATTTGTTCTATTTTAATGCAATGTATATCTCATTTTCAGAAACAAAATAAAAAGTAATAATTTTACTTATGCACGTCTGTTTTATGCATGTCTTAGACATACCCTTGCTGACCACGTTCAAATAACACATTCATATATACTGTAAAACATGTGTTTTTAGTTAACGTGTTGTTTTAGCTAATTCAAGATATCGCATATATATTCTCACAATGAAGTTGTTGTTCTGTTAATTCAAATATTGTCTCAAATTCGCTAAAATTCTCCGTTGGTGGCGCCATTAATGCCATCCGACACCGGAAGTGAGAAATGCGTCTTTCCATCGTTGACACGCAGATCGCCACAATGTTGAATAGCGCCACCTGTGTTGACACAATGGTCTTTCCATGTCATCCGCCGAGGGCGCACTTTATTGTGAAACGCGAGAATTCAAAACGTTTTACAGTATACACGTGCATTTGTTTTGTGGTTCAATTAAAGTAGTTCAAATGGCGTCAGTTTCTAGATTTTCGAAACCAGATCTCAATCGCGTATTGACAGATATCGTTCATGCTTGGACATGTATTGAATATTAGGGGAACTAGATGCACCTCACTTTGCCTTGTGCATCAGATTCAAACTAACATGTTGTTTTATTTGTATGCCATATAGACAAAAACCAATGCAAAATATCAATGCATTCTGCTGAAATTAATTTTGTTTTATTTAGCTGCAATGATTCATCTAAGTTTGAATTAAGAGATTTTATATATTAAAGATATTGTTAACGACAAAGTCCCCGTTCAGTTTTAATTTAACTGTGTCAATTAGACAATGGAAGATGTGGACAGATCGTAATTATATTGAGTTCATAAGTAAGTCAGTCTTCGTATAACTCACCAAAGTCCTAAATCCCATTATAGAACGCATATTTCAAATCAATAGTTTTGTTCACGTACAGTTTCTTATCACAGGATACAAGACCAAATACTTTTGTCGTGCTAAGAAAATGTGCGCAAACGCTTAGCACAGATCAAAAAACAGTAAGTAAGAGTTAAATCTGATTTGCCTTTGAGACCCAAGTTCAGATCCTTAGCACGAGCTAACAAAATGTGCACAAACACTTAGCACAGATCAAGAAACAGTAAGTAAGGGTTAAATCTGATTTGCCTTTGAGACCCAAGTTCAGATCCTTAGCACGAGCTAACAAAATGTGCGCAAACACTTAGCACAGATCAAGAAACAGTAAGTAAGGGTTAAATCTGATTTGCCTTTGAGACCCAAGTTCAGATCCTTAGCACGAGCTAACAAAATGTGCACAAACACTTAGCACAGATCAAGAAACAGTAAGGGTTAAATCTGATTTGCCTTTGAGACCCAAGTTCAGATCCTTAGCACGAGCTAACAAAATGTGCGCAAACACTTAGCACAGATCAAGAAACAGTAAGTAAGGGTTAAATCTGATTTGCCTTTGAGACCCTAGTCCAGATCCTTAGCACGAGCTAACAAAATGTGCGCAAACACTTAGTTTGGGCTCAGCACCCTGAACGCCATTGTGCATTTGGAAGATTTACTATTATATTCATAACTTATAGTCATTTCAGTAAGCCATTTCAGACACGACAATGAACTGACGATAAGATTTCCTGTTATTCTACAATCTGCTATTTTTCCACCTGTGTGAACGCAATAAATGAGATCGTTGTCCATGATAACAAGCTGATTAGCAATCCAATTATATTAATAAAACACAAGGTAGAGCATTAATAAAATAGCGTTTATTTGGATAGTGAATATTCTTTCATATATTTATCAAATTTAATTTATTCATCGATATGTTTGCAATTATTCATATACAATACTAACTTCTTCATTTGGACTGCCCCGTAATATTATCACTTAGATATATTTGTTGCAAATATCATTCCATGCAACTGACACACTTGTAACACACATATTTGGTGGAGGAATTTTATTTCACAGGAAGCTCTTGCCTGTGATTTAAAAGTCTAAAAAAACCTGAGATACTAAAACTGTTTCTAATTATCAATTCAAATGAGTAGGGTCACAGTTTCCATGGAAATAAATTTGCTACAAAACATTTGTAAAAGTTTTGTAAATTTTCTGTATTTTACTAGTTAACCAAGTTCATCCTCAATCTCAACATAACGCTCCCAGATGAAAAAGCTTGGCAAATGTAAGAAAATGCAATTTACAGGGTTTTTTTTATACATCACTTTTCATTCTCTAGATATTCAAGTTTTTAGCAATTTATGTACCGTAGTCCACCATCTTGATTTTCCAGCAAAGGATTATGGGTAAAGTGTGACATCATATCCACTGTTGTGAAAAATTGAGGAAATTCTTTCATCTATAACTTCAAAAGTTAAACTCAATTCAATATTAATACACCATTTCTATAAGGTACGCCCTTCAAAGAAGTTGTTTTACATCAAAATCTATGATGTCATTCAAATTCACAGCTGTGATTGGTTTTTTGTCGTTCATTCAGAATATAATAAGATTTCTCAAGAACATAATCTTTATTGATGAGCGCCAACAGACCGATTATAAAAAAAGGTGCATATTTCCAGCAAGAATATTCATAATCATATTCAACAAAATACATTACAGATATTTCAGAACTAACTTTAGAGCAATCAAGTGAATTCATTGATTAGAGTTTGTTCTGTCACAAGTAAGTATACCGGGTAGTAAGTAAAAACCAATCGTTATTGATTTCTTATAAATTGCTGCCAAATAAGTAATCTGTACGACAGTTTTTATTTTATGTTTCCACTGACAATATTTATCTTCCTTTCTTCTTCAATTTGGTTTTATAGCTTAGGAGCATGTTTCTGGAACAGCTGTCCTGCTTTCATCAGCAACCCGACATTACCAGATACTTTTAGCTTTCCTTGAAAGAATGCCTGCAACAATACAAGATATGAATAACATATGAGATATGTGATTCAATAGCTAATGCTAGAATCAATGATTAGTTTTTTTTTAAACCACATCGCATAATACTATTATAGTACTAACCTGTTGAGGGTTAAGTTTTTGTGTCATCAGATCTGTGAAATGCTGTTCTGCCATGGTTACCGTGACATCAGGTTTACCCTGTTTTGGTGATCCTTTATATACTTCTCCATTACCAGTCTTCAAATCAACAGCTAATAAGCAATAAGGTATCTTATTGACCATTCAACAACATTAAGTGATGTCATAATTACACATGGCCACTCAGTGGTCAATAGTCACTTAAGTGTCACTTGATAATGACAAAAGATGCAAGTGGTCACTAAGTGGTCAATAGTCACTTAAGTGTCACTTGATAATGACAAAAGATGCAAGTGGTCACTCAGTGGTCAATAGTCACTTAAGTGTCACTTGATAATGACAAAAGATGCAAGTGGTCACTCAGTGGTCAATAGTCACTTAAGTGTCACTTGATAATGACAAAAGATGCAAGTGGTCACTCAGTGGTCAATTGTCACTTAAGTGTCACTTGATAATGACAAAAGATGCAAGTGGTCACTCAGTGGTCAATAGTCACTTAAGTGTCACTTGATAATGACAAAAGATGCAAGTGGTCACTCAGTGGTCAATAGTCACTTAAGTGTCACTTGATAATGACAAAGGATGTCATTGGTCACTCAATAGTCAATAGTTACTCAGTGATCACTCTATTATGACAAGTGATGTCAGTGGTCACTCAGTGGTCAATGGTCTCTCCATAATGACAAAGGATGTCATTGGTCACTCAATAGTCAATAGTTACTCAGTGATCACTCTATTATGACAAGTGATGTCAGTGGTCACTCAGTGGTCAATGGTCTCTCCATAATGACAAAGGATGTCATTGGTCACTCAATAGTAAATGGTCACTCAGTGATCACTCTATAATGACAGGTGATGTCAGTGGTTATTGGTCACTCCAAAATGCCAGTGGTCATTCAAAAACTACTCCATGATGACATGTGATTATAGTTGTAACTCAGTGGTCAATGGTCAATCCATAATTCCAAGTGATATCAGTGGTCACTCACTGACAGCTAATACATTTGTATATTTAGAGTGCATGCAATGTTTACATTCAAAATGATGGCGAATACCAATTATTGACAAATGAAAGGTACTTGCACCTGCATTAGAGAGAGTTCAGGAAAATTACTGATTTATTTATTAATATTAACATCTTACTGTATTCAGCCACTGGATTCTTTCCATCAGTCATCCTGTATAAATACACTCCTTTAACTTTCTTGATCAAATCTGGAAAATCATTCATACGCTTTCCCATTTCTTGAAAGATCATATCAATAGGACTACTACTTGTTACCTGAAATACCGGAAAATAATATCAGAGTGAATTAATAGATTGATTAGTATGTAATATGAAATGCAAAGGGAAATCATGACATTGCACAACAACTTGATGTTGAAAGCAAGACAAGTTCACCTATAGATTATATGCATACCAATTAGGTATAGATAGAAAATTGGTAAAAAAACCATACCTAGCAAATACAGAATAGTGGGAACCTCATGCATTAGACTGGCAAAGTCGGGAATTCTTTACGTTTTACAAAAAAAAATAATTAATTGTCAATCTACAGGCAAACCCTCTGCGTTGGAGTGAAAACCGGAGTCGAATCACTTCAGTGACTATGATAATTAAAAGTTGTTGACTAGCACTGACTATCAGTTCTAAACTACAAGATACGACTGCTAGCAGAACATTCACATGTTTCCGTGACTAGCCCGCCATTTGCAGTGTGACCCAACCTTTAAAAGGTCATGTTTACTTTCATACACCCACTCATGAAAAATCAATGCATCATGAATAATTAAGAGCAGTTAAATGCCCACAGATGTGTCCAGTCGGTATTTCTTTTGTGGTCCCGTTAGGTTTTGCGATGATGTTAAAAGGATTTTATAAAACAATTAATTATTTCTTTTTGTAAAACAAAAAAGCAGTCCTGACTTTGCCAGACTACTCGTGCATCTATAGTGGACACTGTTAAACACATATTATTATCAGGTATTACCTGTGAGGTAGCAGATGTTCCAGCTGCAGCAGTCCCAATCAAATCAATGTAAGCACCAGATAAGCAGACCTCACCAGTCTCACCAACCTGTAACATGATGGAATCTACAATTAAATTAACTTAAATCAAGTGTGAATCCCATAAATCAAGTCAACATTTCTGAACTGAATTCAAAGTTTGCACTACTGAGCATATCACTGCACATATATGCAATGCATTGTGGGAGATAACTAAATTTTGCACTACTGAGCATGTCACTGCACACCTATGCAATGCATTATGGGAGATAACCTCCCACTGTATATCATGGAAACTATTATCACCATGGAAACTCATTAGCAAATTGTGTAATTTTTTAAAAATGTTTCCACAAGATTAGGTTTTATGTTATAATATTAATATACTTTTTTATCCTATGTCATTGAGCGTTGTTACCATAGAAACCAGTGTTAAAAGGTCACTTTTGACTATTTTTCAAGACTTTTTTGGACTCTTGTATGTCAAACAATTTTCCAGTGATGCCAATTAATAACGGCATTAACCCATACAAGTATGATGAACATGCCATAAAATCTTCAATTCAGGCTAAACTTCCTTAATAGTTGTATGGCTTGTCCACAATATACTGAGACCATCACAGAAATGACACTGATAAATAGCCGCAGTGAGAAACCTACCACACTAACACTGTTCAGTATCACTAATGATCATACCTTACACTGCATATGAATTCTGTTGCCTTCTTTCCACATCTCTGTCTTAATAGTCTGACCAGGTAGCACCGTCTTAGCAAAGCGTACCTACAGAACAGAAGGTCACATAATAAAAAAAATCACAGCAATTTCTCAAGTATGAAGCCATCAACACTAAAATAACTTAATAGCTATTAGTTCATGAGAGCTTTAGCAACCCTCGCAGAACTTCAGGATATCCCTCCCATCATTGATGCAGTCTCTCCCTGTTTGACTCCTCTTCATCACCTCTAGTACATTTCATAATCTCCTTGCAAACTTCTGTAACTAAATTGCTATACCCGTGTTGCACACTCCAATGATCCTTCTTGCACATCTCTTATATAGTTCTGTGAAACTTTGTGTGTACCTAGTGTACAAGTACATTCCTGCAACTCTTCTTCCACACCTGTTGCACACACTCATGACTCGCTCTCTTGTGGCTCATGTTGTACACATGTTAACACGTACACTTCTATATCATGTCTTACACAATCCAGTCATCCATTTTGCACATCACTTCTATAGTTCTGTGAAGCTTCTAGTATAGCTAATCCCTGCAACTCTACCTACACTCCCCCATCACCTTCCTTGCACTACTGTAGCCAATCGCATACCTGCTGCACACTGCCTTGCACATTTCAGTAATTTACCATGCACCTGTTGCACACT